GGCCACTAGACATCGCAGAAAACTTTCTTCTAGGCTTCTTTTTTCCTGAAGAGAGAGGAGTCGAGAGTAAAAAAAAAAAGATGGATGGCGGTTTCCTTTAAATGTTGTGTCTTTGCTAATATTTTTATACGTCTGTGATGTGCATCTATAGTTTTTTGAATAAATGATTTCAAGATACAGGCTACTAGTCTTAGTGACAAAATTTTAAAGTCTTTACACTTCTATGGGCGGCAAAATTCAAATTGTTATTTCAAGGACAAAAAGTTTTATAGTTTGCTCTTGTTGCGAAATATTATTTTGCCGATGGAATAAAAAAAGTTTAGGCAATTTAATAAGTAATAATAATTTCCAGCAATGGGTTACTATTTGGAAGTAAAAATGAATTATTTTAAGTCAAAATAAAGTTACAAATTTATTTAATCCAAAACGTTTTTGACAAATGGGCAAATTAATATATAATTTGGATTAACAATGACGTAAACTTGGCTTAAATTTGGAGGTGAAATTTAAATTTTTTTTTTTTTTTTTTTTTTTGCCAAAAACTAGCTAAAATTTATTTTGATGATTGTTATTATTATATCTTTCTTGTGTGGAGAGATAACGAAACATTTATTGGGATACCGATTTTCTAAATTCGATATTAAAATCAAACTTTCAGTTGGTTTGTCAAAAATCAGCGAAAACCTGTGTTGGACGTTTTTTAGCGGTCAAGCAAACGAAACTTTTTGGTGATCAAATTTAAGTTACCAATTTTCTATAATTTTTATTGCAATTTAAAGCATTTTATAAATTGCCAGAAAATTGCACTGTTTATAAGGGGTCACTGAAGGATTTGTCAGAAAAGGTCATAAAAGTAACGCAATTTTCTTAATGAGGTTCTTTTCCGAATAACTATTTGGACAAAAAAGCTTTTCTTAAATTAATGAAAATGAAAAAGATTTGTCTGTATCAAAATTCAAATTTATTGGAGCAATAAATAAATAAAAAATATGCAACCCGTGTTTGGAAATTCGCAGTTTTGAGAAGGAAGAAAAAAGCCAGCTAAAGAAACAAGTAGCAACACTAAGTGACTCTAAGAGTTTTTTTAAAAAAAGCATAAATATTATTACTGGAACTAGACTAAAAACTAAAATTTGTTTATTAATCTTTATTGAAAAGTGAAAATTGAATTAAATATTTGGTCGGAACAGGTGATCTTAAAATTAAGGGAACATGAGAATGAAATTCGTACCTGAATTATAGTGTATCATTAAACACCTAATTATCAACGTCATCACTCTTCCGTATCAGGAAAAAAAGGCCACAACTTGTTCTGTAAAAGATACAATGAAAATTATAGGAGAACAAATGTGGTAATCGGCATTTCAAATCACAAAATTCAATAAAAATTTATTAAAAACTTAACGACACTTATATTTTACAAAACTAATGTGTACAGGTGCAAAAGATCACGGGAACAGGGAGAAACGTGACAGTTACTTATAGTTTATCAATTTAAAAAATCCCCTTAGGACAGTCTAAATCCGTCTACTGCTGTGGAAACTAGAAAATAGCAGAAATAGTTTATCACAAGAGGGTGCTTTTCTTACCTGATTCCCTTTCTTTCACCAAATCTATCTTAAATATTGACACAATACTCCTATTGGAAATAGTTAAAATTCGTCCGCGTCAGTGCTCTAGACGAATGGTGAGGGGAGTTCTTTCCATAATGCTGCATAAGAGATGGTTAAAATTTTTAATGTGTTTTGGAACAGGTGGACTGTGATTGCCTAGCTTAATTATTTATTCATTTTAAGACAAACACTGATAGTTAAAAATAGATTATAAATCATTAAACATAAGCATTATTTTTCGGTTTATCTTTCCCTCACGCTGCATGCATCTGGTTGTCTGATTTATTTTTCGAATTTCCGCTCCAAAAAAAGCATTTATTTTATTGCTGAAAATTAATATATGTTCTATCCTAAATTCAAAAAGGCAAAGCAGTTTTTTGCATGACGTATTGTTGGTGTGACGTCCCGACCACTGATCTCTAGTTTTCCCTGCAATGAACCGAAGTTTTATTTTTAAAAAAATACAATGTGATAGCATATTTATTAACTCTATTGCTTTAAAGTGTGTATGATCTGCATGAAATAATTATTAAACTTAGGTAAAATTCACTGCCCACGGATTCACTCTCCGAATACATCTCAACTATTTTGACATGCAGCGGTAACACTAATGAAAGCTGAATTGCAGTAAGTACAAAATGATTTTGATTTCAAGTCGGAAAATCTCAATGCGAAAATTGAGAAGAAAGCGGGACTAGCAGCGCCATCTCTTAGCAATATTCAGAAATACGAAAGTAATCGCAGGATTGGAGTAATTAGCGACGGATTCAATTTCAATGATGCATCTCTTCCTCTCATGACTTGCGCAGCCTTCCATGCGAGCACGAAAAGGCCGAGATGCTTCTCGTGGTCTTCCTCTCCATGTAACGTAAATGCGAGTTAGTTCCATCAAATAGTCCTCCACGAAGGCAAAATTTCTCCCAATACTTGACCCAGGAGTTCTATTGTCTTCTGGATTCTTTACAAAATTACAAGCCTACGGAGTTGAACATTAATAGTCGTAAACCCAAAAATTGGGTCGACTGCTCAACGGCGGTTATAAAATTAAATATATGCTCTCTTGTTTATAGCTAAAAAATTCGTTAAAAATCCTTACAAATGTTACTTATTTCTGAAGGCAAACTTTACGAAAAATTAAGCAAGGTAACAATTTTCTTCGATGGGCTAACAAACCAATAATTTTTAAATGTTTCTTCAAATCAAAATTCTGAATTATCATAATTAATTTCTCAGAAGTTGGATACAAAATGTTTTGGTCGCAACAATTTTTTTGCTTTTGAGATAAAAATATTTAACAAACTGATTCTCTACTAATGGTTAATTTTTGACTAAAAATATAAGCACGTGGTTGTTTGCTTAAAAATGAGTTAAAACTTTTTGTCGTTCTAACATAAGGAGGTTAATTAATAAGGCTGTACCTGATTCTTTTGGTTCGTACCAGTTGAAAGCATCGGCCAGAAATTTTATTTTTAAGCGCAAAATTATAAAGCGGTTAAATAAAATTTTCTTTTCAGATCATAAATCGGTTTAAACTTGTTCAGACAGAACTATTTTGAGGCGTTGGCAGTAGTCTGAAAAACTGCATTGTTATTGTTTGTAGTTAACTACATACAACTATGACTACTGTATTACAAATGTAATTAACTACAATTATTTTTTTAAATGCAGTGACTACGAACTATTTTTGAAATATAGTCACTATTTCACGACTTTTACGAGACGAATTTTGTTGGAGAGTTTCATTTACAACCATGTCCAAAATATTTTTGTATGAAAAAAAATAGGCTTATTAAAAATGAGGAATAATTACGCAATGTTTTTTCATGTTTACATGAGTCGGTTTGTTCTAAAGGGTTTTTCTCGAATTTTTTCTGTTAACAATTTCAACTTTTCATGACTTTATCGACGACGCATATTTATTAAAAAAATGATAAATTAAAAAAAATTTCGAATACGTGCAATTTTGTGAAGCGTTTAGTATTCTTATTTTAAAAATGAATTCAAAATTGCCTTTTTATTTCAATTGTAGTATATCAAAAATTAGTAAGAAAATATCTTTCCTTCCATTAAAATAAACGGTTCATCAATTTACAGTGCGAAAAATAGATCCGAACGAATTTGAATAACTTTTTATCTGATGATTGGATCTTGTTCTAGTACACAATCTTAATGGTTCGAGGGAGTAAATACTAATATGCTAATTAATTAATGCAAACAATATTTAAAGCTACGAAAGCAGGCACAAATCGTACTTTCTCGGAATAGACTCAAATTTTTTTTCGGGGGATTCGGATTTCGGATCCACAAAATATAGGTGGTAGTCTCAATCGCAATCTGGGGAATATGGTTCCAATAGTTTTGTCAGGAGAGCTGTCCAAAGTTTGGACACTTTAATGTTATTTAGACTTTTTTGCGTAGCTTGCCATATCGCGTGAACTTTTTAAGCGAATTGAAAAGTTTTAAACGCAATTATAAAATTCGTTTATCAAAAGATAATACCCATACAAAAAATAGCTTTTAGTAAGTATTTATTATTTTTAACTATTTTATTTCATAATAGACAAAAAAAATTTTAAAATAAATGCTTTCCAAACTTTTTACATCTTTTTAAAGAATTTAATTTTAAATAACCAACTGAAAAAATAGCGAAAAGCAGCAAAATATTACGAATAGTTCCTGAGAATTCGAATAAATTTTAAAAATAAATTCCCCTCTCAAACCGTTTAGATAGAGTCGTTGTACGTAAAAATAAGATCATTACATCAAAAGTTATTCAAAATGGTTCGTTTTTTGAGTGCATTGTACATATAAGGCAAGCTAATCTAGATGATAGTGCAGAATTTATTTTGTTGTTAGGTAGTCTTACAGATGTTGATAAGTGTAGCATGTTCTTTTGTTATATCTTGTTTACTGTTGTCTTATTTCAGCCAAAAACTTTTTATCAGCGATCGAACTTACGATGATTTTTGGGCTAGATCAGTGGTTTCCAACTGGCGGCCCGAGGGCAGCATCCGGCCCGCGAAGCTTTTTTCTGTGACCCGCAAACTAACATTTATTAGTTGTATGTTGCTAATTTTTATTTAATTTTTTTTTTGTATTTTGTGAATATAATTTAGCATGTTCTCGAAATTTTCTCGAAGAAATTCTCCGATTTAACTTTTTAAAACCACTCATTTTGGACGAAAATATTGACACACACATTTGTAAATTTTAAATTTAAAATGTAAATATCTATTCTCTGGTGGTTGCAGCGGACGAACCTCAATTTGCTCATTTAACATTTTATGTGCTACTATGTAAGTTTTAATACCAACCTTTTTAAAATTTTATATCTTAACAATTGGATATCTGTTACACATTAATTGTTTAATACATATGTGCATATTAAAGTTATTGTAGTCCGAATTTTGTAATATGCAAATAAATATTTTTAAAAATCTACTTATTTTAATTTGTAATTCAATACTTTTGTATTGTACAGCTTGATAAAATCTGACAGTAATATTTAAAGTTCCTTCAAACATAAAAGAGTCCTTCATAAAATTTTGATAAAGTTGCGACCCGCCATTTGATTTGTGTTTTTAATTGTGGCCCCCGGCCTCATGTAAGTTTGAAACCCCTGGGCTAGATATTCCCTACATTAGGTTAAAATTGAGACGAACTCTAATAGGGGAGAGTCGGGTAGTCCCGCCCACTTAAGGAGTATTGCTTATATTTCTGTATAATATTGAGTAATAATCAATATTTTTGTATCTATTGTTTTATCATCTAATTAAATAATGCAAAAAGAAAAAACCAAAAAAGAATAGTTTAACCTAAAAGAATAGAAAATTTGACTATTGTATTCAACATATTTTCAAAACTATTGTTTACCATGTTACCAGCTGCATAAATGCTTGAAACTTTGAAAATAATCTTTTTTTTAATATAATAATTAATATCCCATGGTCCATTGATTTGAGAAAATATTCTATAAATATGAAATTGACAGTGGGCGGGGGTACCCGACACTCCCCTAAGTGGTTTCTAAATTTTTAGATACTTTCTTGAAATTTGAATTCACAGTCATTCTGATTGAAATAACTACGCAACAGTCTTTGCAGAAATGTGCAACTGATCGAATGCAATACACGTTGTACACGCATTACATCGTCATTTCTGATCCGATAACCTCATAAAGCAATAAATTGTTCTCCCGGTCAAATGACCGGTTGTGGTAGAAATAGGTATACAACAAGTATTATTCCAAACAAACAAAATGTAACAAAAATTATAATAATAGATTATTAACTGTATATAAACTGCTGTTTGTAGAAAATGCAACACCATGAAGGAATCCTCAGAATCAAATGAAATTCGCAGCAAATGTCAATTATAGGATATTATGCAAATTAATAAAGTTTCAGAGCCATCGCGCGTGCGTGGCGCGCGCAGCGCCCTCTGAATTGATGCTGAAAGCGTATAAATAAAGTGCTGTAGCGGGACGTTGAAAATAGTCTATGATTATTTGTTAGTGGCAAACGTTTAGTGAGACCTGAGTATGCCTCCACGACGGAAGAATAAGAAATTCAAGCAACTTACGGAGTTTGAACGAGGGAGGATAATCGGCCTTCGAGAAGGAGGATTTTCCTATCGCGCAATAGCAGCTCGTATGCAGCGGAACAGTTCCACAGTGATGCGAGTTTGGAAGCAGTGGACCGACGAGCACCGAACAACTCGAAAAACAGGCACTGGACGACAGAAGGTGACGTCAGAGCGCGATGATCGACACCTGCTCCGCATGGCGGTGAATGATCGCACAGCTTCCTCCAGGCAGCTGGCAGCACATTGGTCTACTGCTACAGGTGTACAATTGTCGGCTTCGTCAATTCGTCGTCGTCTGCTGCGCCGTGGATTGCGTGCAAGGGTGCCATTATACAGGATTCCCCTCACGGCGGATCATCGACGGCTGCGTCGGCAGTGGGCTCTTGAGCACAGAGACTGGCGAGCTGATTGGCACCAAGTTGTCTTTTCAGATGAATCACGCTTCAATTTGTGGACCCATGATGGCCGTGTTCGTGTTAGACGTTATGCCGGTCAACGCTGCCTTCCTGAGTGTATTATTGAACGACATAGTGGTCGAACACCCGGAGTTATGGTCTGGGGTGCGATTTCGTATCATGGACGATCCAATTTGATACGAATTGAGGGTAATCTCAATAGCAACAGATACGTCCGTGAAGTGCTACAGCCCGAAGTCGTTCCTTTCCTTCAAGGCATCCCTGGAGCTATCTTTCAGCAGGATAATGCACGCCCACATGTTGCGCGGACTGTTAGAGACTTCTGTTCAGCACAACGCATGCAACTTCTTCCTTGGCCTGCTTATTCGCCGGATATGTCGCCTATTGAGCACGTGTGGGATATGGTTGGTCGGCGTCTCACTCGTGATCCGCGTCCTGCAGTTTCCAAAGACGAACTTTGGTTGCGCATACAAGCGATATGGAATTCTCTTCCTCAAGCAGATATTCAACATCTGTTTGACTCCATGCCACGTCGTATAGCAGCACTTATTGCAGCGCGTGGTGGCTGCACCAAATACTGATTTCGGACGCTTAATTTGTTTCTTTTGTTTTGAAAATTTCATCATTTATTTGTATCAGTACAAGTCGTTTCTGCATTAAATTTCATTTGATTCTGATGATTCTTTCATGGTGTTGCATTTTCTACAAACAGCAGTTTAATTGTTAGAAAAAGTCAGGAAGTCAAACGTTCAAAAACGATAAGATGGAATTTTCGATGCAAAAGTTCTTAAACGGTTATTTGACCGGTTAAGGTATGGTTAGTGTTAATTTGGAAAACGCTTTAAA